AATATTTATTGTGATATTTTGTGGAGGCTAACAAAACTGTCAATACGCTACTTTTTTCTCTTAAAATACCTTGACAAGACCTAATCCAAAGAACTAACACTTAAAAGTGCTTAGAACTGATATTTCTTCTTGTAGTTTACACTGAAGACTAGACTGGAGCAAAGGATCATGGTCTATGTAGTTCCCTCTGTCTTTTTTTTAGCTACTGTTGCACCATAACTCTTAATTTAAGCAAAGCGACTTGTAATTCAATATATTGTGATGGTCCACGATATTATTATGAAAACTTTGACAATATGATATCACAATATTTTGGATATTCGCTAAGATTTAATGTTGAAAGTCACATTCTATTGTTTAAAGAAAGAGTGCATATGAAAGAAAGCTTTTTATTCTCTTCTCTGTCTTCTTTCTTCTCTTGTAATATTAATTTTATGATAATTATTTATGTTTTGATTGGTAAAGTGAACGAATCTTGCTATACAAATAAACTGGCCTTTGCTCATTTGCACTGCGGTATCAGAATCGGTATCGAATTTAGCCCTCAGTATCGAAATAGCGTTTGAAATTTTAGTATCGTCACAACACTATGGGACCACACATTATTGTACCAGACAAAATATATCTACCTCATAAGCGTGGAGATGAGAAATGCAAGCAAAGCGATATTTCTAGAGAGCTGGTTTTGTCTTTGCGGGGACGTACAGCTTCACCATTTGGCTAGGGGCCCGTAAAACACAAACTTTCTCAGGCGTTTAGGATTGTGCCTCTCAGCGAAACGCACGGGAGCCCCCCCCCCAGACCCCGTAAAAAGGGTCAATGGTGTGACAAGTCTGTTTACGACGGCTCTAGTTTTAGGCCAAATGCACCCAGGTATAGAGGAGAGTCGGGCTGGTGTTGAAAATATATGATTAGCACAGCATTGGCTATTAACACTTTGCGTCCATTAAAATACATATAAAAGTTAATGAAGTCGAGATTCCGCGTTATAAATGCTATTGTTTTCCATAAATCCACAAGGATGTTCATAAATACCTGAATGGTGGATTTTTAATGCCCTGGTTAATGTATTTAAAGACGGGAAACAAATGGCGAGCTTTTAAAGGAAAACTGCTTTGGAAGTTGCTTATGTTGGGAGAAAAAATAGCTAAATTTGCAGTATTATTAAAGAAAAATATTTTTGGGGGGGCTTTATACAACACTACAACATTAACCTTTAGTATCAGAGGGAGTCGATCATGATTCAACTAAGAATGTTGATGTAATTTTTTTAATAAATACTGCTGAGAGATCTGGAAAGAAATGTGCTGATTTGGACTTTTCTGCAGTGTCACTTTCCACCACTGGAGCGCAGTTAAAACATTTTCCCTCATCAAAAACATGCCAGAAGAGGTTTTAGTCATGTTTGAGTAATTTAGTGATCTCTCCTGGGCCCTATTCAGAGCCTCCTTACAGTTATTATTATGGTTCTTTCCAAAGCTCAGCCACAAGCCTACATCGCCCAATGTTCCACTCAACAATTCTCCATAAATATACAAAAGCATGATACAAAGCAACACACTACAACTTCACAAACCTGACTGTGTTGTGATAGCGCTTTGAAGGGGGAGTGACTTAGCGCAGAGAGCAAAAGGAGGGGAGACTTGGAGCATGAAAAACAAAACTGAAGCTTGTTGAATACAGCATTTTCCAAACAATAAAAACTAAAATAGTGATCTAAATATGTTATGTGTTAGCAGTTAATATCCCATAGATCCCATATCCTACATTTATTCAATTGCAGGTGTTTTTTGTTTTGTTTTTTTATTACTTAAAGGTGCACTATGTAACTCATTGTCCGTCACCTTCTCGTTTCATGACAAAAACTCAAATGTAGCCAAGTTAAGATGAAATGAATAAAGAAAGTGTTATCGTGATTTGAGTAAATTTCACTTGACAAGTAAAATGATCAACCAGTTTTTGTACTTAAAATATGAAAATACATCTGGCTACACTTAAAATCAGAAAAACAACAACTTTTTGCACTTAAAATAAGAAACACAATGTAATGTTGATTGAATTAAGTAAAACACACTTATTCCATTGGTAGATAATTACACTTGTCAAGTTGAATCTAGTCATTTTAACTTATCTAGATATTGCTTTTTGCAGTGCTCTCTGCATATGTCATTGCTCTACCTGGAATGTTCCACAGTATGACATTGAACAGCTCTACCTTACATTTATTTATTCAATTACAGGTGGTTTTATTGCTCAAAAATAATAGAAAAAGGCATTCTGACTGTGATCGGGGCTGCCTCTCCATAGATCTGACCTGTAACTTTAACTGGTTTGGTCTCCATGAAGATAGAAAGGTTTAACGCCATACTGTGAAACATTCCAGACAAAGCAATAACATCTGATAACAAGCATTTGACAGACCCTCCACCAGAAAAGTTCACAGTGCACCTTTAAAAATACCTTGAAAAACATACACTGGCACTGTAAGCGGGCTCGCCTATCCACAGACCTGACCTGTAACGTGGCTGTAACCTGCTTGTCTCCATGAAGATAGATTTAAGAACACACCGTTGAACACGCTGGCAAAGCAATAACATCACGATGGACTTTTAAGTTTTTGAATAAATTGTTGATGCTTCTCTAACATTTACACAGTATTATAAAACCCACCTGTACACTACTTCACAACGCAGAGTGTGATACGAATGCATTATTAAATGGTTAGCCGTGTCCCTTTGCTCTTCAGATGATAGCGGCGCATGTCCGTGCATATGCTCGTGCTAATCTCGCTAAGAACTGTTGCTTTTCTGAGCGATGAGACAATGTTTTCACAGCTTGGGGCCATTTTGAAGTTGAGCGGCCTGCATGCTCTGAGGAAGTGCAGTCTGATTACGTGATATTGGCAGATATGTGCTTAAAATATCGTTTCAAATTCATATGACAGTTTTTTTTATGTTTTTATAATTATTACAAGTTTAGTGGGATAGTACTTGTGGTAAATATTTGTTATAGTTTCACATCATTCCAGTAGCAGTTTGCAGGAAAAAAATTAAACTGTGTAAAAATATAGGAAGTACAGGGGTAAGTTCTAAAACTAAAAAACTAGAAAACAAGAAAATTCCATCCAAAAATACAGAGACAATTTATGCACAAGGAAGGTATTTTTTCAGTTTAGATGTATTATTAGTCTGATATAGCTCTTTTCCAGTAGCTTGATTCATCAGCCGGTTTCACTTCGTAGAAACAGTCTGACCTTGCAGTGTTAGTATTCGTTTGCTCAATGTAGGTGGGTACTTTTTTTATTTAACCAATCCCTGCTATTTGGTCGTGATGTATATAATGCGCCTCTAACGGGGCTAACTGATATATTAAGCTTTTCCCAAATCTTGTAGGAAGAAGGGCAATAACGTCTTTCCCCTTGATAAAATTCACCAAACATTCTCTTTGTTCCGGCTTTACATTCTCGATCTCAGGAATCATTGCCAACACAGAATGTATGGCTCATCGCTGATTGGCTGGTGCCTGGACTCGCACTTCCGGGGATTTTGAAAACCATCTAGCGTGTATTCCGATTCCTGACCCAGTCGCTGGAGAGAAATTAAACTGAGCGGAGGCACTAGGTGACGCCAGCCTGGCTACTTTTCCAGATGCTCAAAGTTGTTTTACAGTTTGGTGCATTATTCATTCACTGTATACCTGGTGGTGGTAACATACTATTGTAGTCACAGCTGCCCTGGGGCACACTGGCAGAAGTGTGGCTGCCAGTCTGCGCCATCACTGCCACCAACACCATCACTCACACACTCACCACTTTCATACCAGGACAGGGGTCACCGGCGTTTTTCCTCCAGTGAGCTACTTTTACAAAATGAAAATGCCAGAGAGCTACCAAGCAGTCACCAAGAAACTGAGTATATATAAAAGCCTCTCCAAGCCTTAGACAGGGAACATCAACAGATGCCTGGAAAAAATAAAACATTATCCATTTATCAGTGCACAAATTTAGGCATCAAAATTATACATTTAGAATGGTAATTAATCAAATTTTACTTATTCAGCACAATACATAGATTCAGAAATCCCTTGGAGAGTTACTCTGAAGGAGGTGGAGAGCTACTGGTAGTTTCCCAAGCTACAGGTTGGAGAGCCCTGTACTAAAGAATGTCGGTGAAGTGCCTAAGGACACAACAACAGTTATTGCCACTGGCACTCCACTGTGACACCTGGTGGTCTCGGTAGTCTCCCATCCAAGTCCTAACCAGGCCCAGCCTTCGATAGCTTCTTGAGATCTGACAAGATGGGGCTTTGACAGGATCTTTGTTATAATGGTGTTTCCTCATCACAAACAGACCTGGAGTTGTGTTTTGTTTCATTCACACATGTTCTTCTCACTAACAGTTCCACCTGATGTCATGTGGTAATACAGGAAGTGCATCGTTGTGTCTTTATGATTCACTAAATGTAATTGGATGATTTCAGTTTTGGAACTGCCAACCTCTCCTGTACAAAAGGTAAAAAGTAGCTGTTTACTCAAACTGAGAACTTGACATAACTCGAATAGATTATATTGTTATGTCAAGAAGCTTTAAATTAGAAAAAGTTAGTAGGTGTGTAGAAATATTCACAAAGTGCTCATGGGGATAATGGCAGTGACCTCAACAGCTTGCGTCCAAATGGTGTGCAATGGTAAGTCATGGTCTTCTGGTCTGCCCATAGGGAGAAGCGGAGGGGGGCTCAGAGGGGGGTTAGTCTATCTGTGGACTTGGCAAGTGACAGGACCAGCTGGGGCAAGAAAGACGTAAGAGACCAGACCAGACCACGCGCTCCTATAATGCTTTGGTTACACATACGCTACACGCACACCCGACTCAGAGTCCAGCTTGGAAGTTCACTGCCAAAAATCTGGACGGGTGACTAGACTGTTTTGATTGAACACAACTTTGTGAAGATTCAAGATCATGTTTTGGTAATTACATTTTTTTAGTTTTGCTACATGGACAATGGGAGGAAAGCAGTCTCGCCTGTCCGGTAAGGATTTAGATGAAGTTGATGCGAAGCAAAGACGAAAGAACACCATACGGCCAGATGATCAGTCGTTGTCATCGGCAGCTGAGCGAATCCGGCGTCACGCAACTGTCCATTTTGGGTTTAACACCCTTAGCCTAGCCATGCGTGGTCTGGACGAACCCCCTGCGGAACTATGGGAACTCAGAGAACTGCAAAAACTAAACTTATCCATGAATTGCTTGTGTTCCTTGCCCCCTGCACTGGGCTCTCTGGACAATCTGGTCATTCTTAACCTCTGGGGCAACAATCTGTCGAGTTTGCCCCCAGAGATTGGACTTCTGAAGAAGCTCCGAGTGCTTTTTGCCTGTCGGAACAGACTCAGCGAAGTGCCAGAGGAGCTGGGGTCGTGCACGTGCCTGGAAGTGCTCAGTCTCGCCAATAATCAGATCACTTCTCTGCCCAACAGTTTAGCGTCCATGCAAAATCTGACCAAACTCAACCTCAGCCACAATCGAATTTCCATCATCCCGACTTGCGTTTACAACATGAAGCGCCTGATATTCCTGCATCTCGCTTGTAATAGACTGGAGACCATCGCGGATCAGATTCAAGATTTGGTCAATCTAAAGATACTGATTGTAGAAGGGAACAGCCTGCATTCGCTTCCCAAGACGATCTGCCTGCTGGAGTCGCTGGAGTTGTTAAATGTTGATTTTAATGATTTGCAAAGTGTCCCGGTGGAGATGTACTTGCTGAATCGGCTGGGGAGGTTAGCCTGTCACCCTCTGGACAAAGGACTTCATATTGTTCATAATCCTCTGTTGAAGCCAATACAGGAGGTGCTCCAAGGAGGGTTAAGCGCTCTGTATAACTACCTCAAACCCTCGTGAACAGACCGCACTGGGAACTGTGGAGGGCAATGTGTAATGTGGTTAGTGCTGTAAAAGATCATAGAAAATACTGTATATGTGAAGTTGTGTTAGGGTTAAGTTTAGGGATGTAACAATAACCGAAATATCGTGATAACGTATCTTCTAAGTCTCACAATAATATCATGGGCTGTCACAATATATCGAATCACAAGTTCCTTTGCTCAAATGCATGGTTTTACAGTAGAAACAGCTTATAAACATTGGGAACTACATATCCCATGATTCATTTCAGTGCAAACACCACAAAGAAATACGTGTTTTACTTGAAATCTTGGGATTTTGATGGAAATAATTCCCACCAAAGTCTTGTAAATGTATTTTAAAAGCAGAAACTTGTCCTATCTACAATTATATCAGCCTTTCCAAAATATCGCAATAAATATCATACTGTGAGATGCATATCGTGATAATATTGTACCGAGAGATTTGGATATTGTTACATCTCTAGTTAAGGTGACTGATAATGTTGAGCAGTAACTAAACACTAATACAGAAAAGATGCATTTTTAGGATTTTAATTTTGAGTAACTGGTACAATTACTGCTGGTATTCAGAATGCAGTTACTTTCCTAAAAGGAATTCACTGCGGCAAGCTGTGAAAATCTTCAGCATTGTCACAATACTAGTTTGAAACTTGATCTCAAACTTTTGTCAACACAGTGATGATTTAAAAAAAATTAAAAACTCAAAGAAACAGAAGCATTTATATAAAATAGAATGTAATTTTGATGAAAGAAATATTACATACACTGTTCTGAACTATTTAGGAAAGGTAAAAAAAAAAAATTCAGTATCAATACTTGTTGAAATGACTATTATAAAACAGCGTACTATTGCAATTTACGATTAATGAATAATGCAACACTAGTACCGCATAATAATACAGCATTGAGTGTCCAAAAGTGCTTTGAAAGACGAACACATGACATCAATCATGTGTTTAATGCTTTATCATGTTTAGTATTAAACTGATCACAATTTGACCCATTCTCCATCTCCAATACCAAATTTGGCCACGGATTCTGAGCAGGAGTTTCAAGGTGTCAGATAAACTAGATGTACAAATTTTAGGTCGCAAACCCCACATAGGAAGGCCCCATGCAGTCTTGGAATTAAAAGCATTCGTGTCATAAATCAAGGACGCCAACCGCAACTTCACCACTATGCCACCAATGTTGTGAGCCGATGCCGATAACTAGTGTGTGCGACTGAACTATGCAAATGATCGCTGCTGGGTACAAGTATATTCTGTGCTCCTTGCAGTTTTCACTTATTCTAAAGCAGCAGAGTAGTAGGATCACCCCGAGAAAGTATGTCCCCGGTGTCACTAATCATGTGGCAGGGAGCTACATTAGCACTTCCTGGGGGCTCACCTGTCACTCTACACCACTGACGGGTGATGTAACAGGCAGTCAGGGTAGACACGTAGAGCCTGTTAATGTCTGCGCTATGGACCGGGATTCTTGCACATGTTTGCAAGTTCAGCAAAGTTGGGTGTACAAAATGAAATTGGGAAAGACAGAGATAGAGGAGGAAAAAAAAGGCGTATGTCCCGCAGTGTGGCTTTTCTCCGACAGTCAAAAGATCAACGATGAGAAAGTCACTGTACTTTTTTAAGCAAATTTCCCAAGGGCCATCTGATTTTCACATTTTGAAGTATTTTGGGCCTTTATATTCCACTATCTAACACTAAAATATATATAAGTAACACAATTATAGACCATTTAGTAAAAAAACTAAACTAAACTAAACAAAAAACAGAGTTGGATGCATTCAATTAAAATGATTAAAATGATAGTATGCAACTTTCTGAAGGTCACCATGGAAATTGAAAAGTTAAAACCATACTTCGGAACATTCTCCACAGAGATAGATACGTTTTCTGCCATGATGTGGATTATTATAGTCAAAGGAACAACATTTCCATAGAAACAAGCAGGGCAAATAAGTCAGGTTTGTGGAGATGCAAGCACGTATAGTAGAAAATTTCAGTTTTTTAGTGCAATAAAAAAAAAATCCATCAGTTCAAGTTCAATTCATCTTTATTTTAGACTCATGGTTCATTTTTAAAACAGACAAGGACAGTGAAATCAACAAACATTTATGTTTTTAAAAGACAACCATACCGGTGTCTCCACATTTTGGACTGATATTTTATGGCACTGAATCTCATTTTCATTGTTCAATTTGTTCAGCCTGCAAATAAAACTATTAAAAATGTAAATTAAAATTCTTAGTACAGCTTGCAAAGTGTTCAATCATGCAGTAATAATATGAAATAAAATAAAAAGCATGCTATTTTGGGGGCAAAACATTACAAATTGTGGCTTTAATCAACGGTCAGAATTCGTTCTCAGCTTAATTGCTGGAACCAGGGTGTTCTAAAATATATTTTTTTTATGTTTTGTTCTAGTATCCGTTCTTACCTGCACATGTTAGCCAAGAGACAATGTTAGTAATAGTCTGAAGAGAATGTGAGATTGTGTGATCCAGGTTGTGTTTGTATCCAAAACATCTGGGACTGACTCCAACCTCTGTGTCTGTGAAGTATTACTGGAACCAAAAGATTCATAGATATAGTTAGATAAAAGGTACTTGAAAACCCTATATGTAACTACAACTCTGCAGAAAGTACACAAAAACTTTCAGTATTATGTATTACTTTCAGTATTTTGTATAGCGTATATTTAGTTAATGTATACTTTAAATAAATATTAATAATGTAGCTGGATAATACACTGTTACATGATACATAACTCTACTTTTTTTAGTAGGACATGGTCAGTAAAAAATGTAAAGCTAGAGGTGGTAAGGTAGACAAAGATTCTACTCAAGTAAAAATTGTGTTACTTCAAAATAGTAGCACTGAAGAAGAAGTACAAACTAGTGGTCCAAGAAATTACTCATGTATTTGGTAAAGGTACTACTCAAGTAAGAGTAACTTAAAGAGTAAATGTCAGGACATAACATCTGATCTGACTGACAAAACTTTAAATAATGCCCCAATTTTTTGTATTTTCAAAGGACGGACAAAAAAAGTGAGAAAAACTATATTGAAGGAGCGAGAAACATGTTCAAAAATGTTCAAATCATTTCATATTGTCCACATAAAGCTTTCATTTTGTCACTTGTAGACTTACTCACAGCGGGAAGTTATTAGTTATTTAAAAAGGAATAATACAATTTCTTAAAAACAAAGTTACTCAAGTAAATGTAACTGAGTAGTACCCACCTCTGTGTATAGCAAATGAATTATTGTATGGAATTACTTGTTCAAATAAGCTATAAAACATAACTTTGGTGTTTGTTGTCTCTGTATTGTAAGAAGTAAAGCTTTGATGTTCCGTGTACAGTATGTCATAAGTTGTGATATAAATAAAACAAAACAGAAATAGTGCGAAGGCGTTTTTAGCCCGGCGAAGATCCAAAACAAGTTTGTGAAGCAGAGAAACAATTCACAAGTTTTTTTTTGGAAGATCCAGATAATCTCCTGTGACCGGGCACAGTGAGAGGGCCAGACGGGGGGCAGAGAGGGGGCAGAGAAGGGACAGTGAGGGGACAGTGAGGGGACAGTGAGGGGGCCGTATGGGGGTCCCCTGTCTGTCTGCTGTACTTTGGGTCAGAGGTATCAGGTGAACAGTGGAAAAAACACAGCTGGGGCAAGAAAAAACAAGCTCAAGATCAAGCACAAAGGGATATGACATTGTTTTAAAGGTATAAAGTGTACATTTTCTGCATTTCTCTTTAGATGTTAATATCAGGAATGTTCCACAGTGCAGAATTAAACCTTGCTCTTCTACAACTTCCCAATTGCAGGAGTGTTTCCAGCTGTAAAAGTTTCAGTGAGTGCAGAGCCAATACAGTTCTTGGCTCACACTAGATTGACATGTGTAGCACTCTGAATAAAGTTTATTCATTCATCAGTCTGGAACGGCTCTCACTGAAAGAGTCACAACAGCATAATAAAAAATCTAAGTGCTTCTCTCTTTCACAAATTAAATACCATATTTTCTGCACTATAGGGTGCACTTAAAAGCCTTTAATTTCATCAAAAAACAACTGCGCGCCTTATTTATGAATTTATTCAGATGTCTTAGTACGACCTTAGTAAACTACAAAGCCGCACCACTTGCAGCATTATGGCTCCCGTAGTCAGGAGCATCACGGAGTAATAATACTGTGATTCCTTTTAATATCAAAATGCACCTGTCAAGAGACACACTTACAGCTCTGACTTTAAACTCAAAACTCGAGACAGGGAGACAGCACCGAGCGACTTACACCACAATCTGCCAATGGATCGTGGACGTCTGGGCTAAGGATCAGTATCAACTGTGGTCCGAGCATTTACGAAGACCAGAATCATCACTGAACTGCCAGGTAACAGTAACCACACTGACTCAGATAATGACAGAGGGATGTGGGCGTACTGGACGCCATAATCACCCAACTGTTTGAACAATTATGAGTTATTGTGAAAACGCTAACAATTTAGCGTCTCAGACAGTATTTTTTTACGCGTTACAATTGAACAAAGTTGAGAGTTATTGTGAACGCATTAAATAAAGTTTGACTGACTTATCTAACTGTTGTGTTTCGTTTAATGTGACTTATCGTTCGGTGCGGTTTATATGTGAAAAAAGTTTAAAAATAGACCATTCAATGACAGTGTGCCTTATAATCCAGTGCGCCCTATAGTGAGGAAAATACGGTATTGTTGTTGTATTATACGGTACCGTATTTTTGCTAAATGTAAGTTTGTAGGTTCACAAATCCAGAGGTGGGGACATGCAAGTCGTGACTTGGACACGAGTCAAACTTGAGTCACTATTTTCAAGACTTGAGACTTGATTTGATAAAATGGACTAAGACTTGGGACTTGAGTTGGACTTGATGGTCAGTGACTTCGGACTTGACTGGAACTTGAGGCCTGTGATTTAAGACTTGAGATGCACTTT